CAACTCTGTCATCTCCTCAAGTGACAAAGTGAAACCAACAAGCTCTTCAAGTGTTTTCTATACTCCGAGCTGTCAGTCTCAGCCTCCCTGCAGCCATCAGCAGGTCCAAACTGAAGTTTATGTGACTGATTACTCGTCTGCTCTTATTTACCTCGATTGTGTCTGTTTCTCAGCAGGTTACCTTGTTAACACTGTTCTTGTGGCTGCAGGACACAATTGCCAGTCCTGATTACTGCACGCTTTGTTAGTCATCATGATTGTAACCATTATCACCTTCCTCATCAGTGAAACTGTGGAACGGATAGTAATTGTAATTGCCTCTTAGTGGCTGAGTATATGCCTCTTTTGGTCCTCCCATGGCTGTCTGTTGTCTCAGATAATATGTAATTAGCTGGATAATCTTTGGTCTTCAGAGCTTGTTTTGGAAATTGTAAGTTCTTTGTTCCTTGCAGTGAGGCAAAAGCAGATAACACACAGGACTCCGCTGGAAAGCCAAAGCATTTGAAGTCATTTTGGTGTCACAGTGCTCTGCAAAGAAGCAGAAAAGTGGGAATCTCAAACCAGATTTATTCCCCCCCCCCACTTCAATAAATGAGTCAGTGGATAATCTCATACTTTTAATACATTTTGCAGCTTTTTAGGAGCTGAAATGTTCTGGTGTTAAATGATCAGAGTTGCAGTTTACATCAGAACTTCCTGCCTGTTGAACAGAAAATGGAATTCATTTGAGCAGAATGTGATCTGAAAGAACACGCCTGTTCCCTTTTAGGTTTTGTAACGTTATTCTTTTTTAAGCGCTGAAGAAATTTATAGTTATTAGAGGTTAGTACTGATGTCAAAAGCACAACACTCTATTTTTAAGTTTTTCTTTTTATAATGTTGAAAGTGTTTGATCTATTATGTTTTGATTGATAATAGATTAGTTACATGTCCGAAATATCTATAACAACACATAATGAAGTTATGAGAACATTAGATCAGTGTTTCCCAAAGTTGGGGTCGGGACCCAAAGTGGGGTCCCGAAACATCAAGGTGGGGTCCTGAAA